CTTTGGAACCATGCGGTATTTTACATAGATCCAAAACCAAAATTAAATGATCAAAAACATTTGTGTAATACTAAGAACAAAATGAAGAGGAAAAGAAAAAGGAGCTAACTATGTATCCAGTTTTTAGCATAACCACACTGAGAACTAATTTTCAATAAAACCTAGGAAGGAATGACTGTCCTTGAGAAAGTGACTAGCTCCTGACACCCAGAAGTCTGGTCACTCCAGGTGTAAGTTGCACATATCCGAGACTAAAAGCGACACAGACTTTCCCCTTCAGTTCCCTGATATTCCCTCTTCTTTATTCCCTAGCTGCAAAAAAAGCTCACTACTTCATCTCTTTGTTAAGACGGATCTGAGAGATTTTGCTCTCCTGTCTTCTTACTTTGGCCAAATTGAAAAAACCTTTCCCTATCTCCAAGCACAGGTGCCTCAGTGTTTGGTTTCAGCTGCACATCAGGTGCACAAGCTTGAACTTGGGTTTTGACAACAATAGCACACAGTTCAGTAACGTATAGCCAATCAGTAATCAATGTTATTATGTATTATGTATTCTCAATGAGAATTCCTGACAAACAGCCGTTGTAATTGTCTATTCTCCTGATTCATCCTCTTTTCTTTAAATTCTTGAGCTTCTCCTATTTGCTCTGTGGCACGTCCCAACACAGCTTGGAAGTGTTTCCCAGAATACACTCCTCAACCTTACCCTCAACAAACCCTCACTATTTTGCCTCCGTTTCTTTCTTTAAATCAATGCCAGGCAGGGGGTAACAAAAACAAAGAATAAAGTTCTGTATGCAGCAACATACACAGCTGGGGGGAAAGCAGGTTAACTCAAGATGCAAAATAATTTTATTATTATAGGATGAAAATTATAACCTTCATCAGGATCTTTGGGAATTCTCCAAATCCAACAATACAATTCATTAGCGGTTCCTTTAATTTTCTTTACTGGTATAGCACTACTAACCACGTTGGCCTAACTGCCCTTTATATAACTTTCCACCCACCAAGAATAGGATGTACATTATTTTCGAGCGTACACAGAACATTTACCAAGATGGACCATTTTCTGGGCCACAGAGAAATCTCAATAGATCCAAAAGGTTGAAGTCCTATGAATACAAGGAGTGTCCTCTGAACACACTGGAATCAAATTAGCAATCAATATCACTGTTTGGAAACGACGTAAAACATTTTTGAATGATCCTAGGATCAAAGGGTAAATCAAAGTGCTGAACAGAATGAAAATGTGGCATATCAAAGTCTGTGGGGTACGGCTTAAACAGTATTTACAAGGATATTTAGGATAATAAATATTTATATTAGAAAAGAAGAAAGGTCTGAAATCAATGACCTCAGTTTTCATTTCAAGAAACTATAAAAAAGGGCAGCGCCTGTGGCTCAGTGAGTAGAGCACCAGCCCCATATACTGAGGCTGGCAGGTTTGAACCCAGCCCCAGACAAACTCAACAAAAAAATAGCCGGGAGTGGTGGCAGGCCCCTGTAGTCCCAGCTACTCAGGAGGATGAGGCAAGAGAATCACCTAAGTCCAAGAGCTGGAGGTTGCTGTGAGCTGTGATGCCACAGACTCTACTGAGGGGGTCAGAGTAAGACTCTGTCTCTAAAAAAAAAAAAAAAAAAGAAGAAACTTTAAAAAGAAGAGCAAATTAAACCCCAAGTAATTAAAGGAAAGAACACTGTGAAAATAAGAACTAAAATTGATAACAGAAAACAAAAAAGCAATAGAGAAAAATCAATGAAATCAAAAGTTGGTCTTCCATTGGGAAGATCCATAACATTAATAAATCTCTAGCTGAGTATTAGGATGAAGAGTAACAAGACAAATCACCATATTAGGAATAAAAAGGTAACATCACTACATATTCTGTAGGATTTAAAAGGATAATGAAGAATATTGTGAACAACTTTATGCCAGTGAATTTAACAACTTCGATGAAGCGGACAAATTCCTTGAAAGCATAAACTACCAAAGCTGACTCAAGAAAAAAAAAATAGATAACCAAAATACCCCTATATAAACCACAAAAATTAAATTTGTAGCTTTACAGAAAACCTATATGCCCTTATATATTTATATAAAACCTATATGAATCTGGCTTCACTGGAGAATTCCCGCAGACATTTAAAAAAGAAATAATATCAATTCTATGCAAACTCTTCCAGAACATTTAAAAGATGACTTCCCAACTCATTCTAGGAAACTAACTTTATTCTGATACCAAAACCAAACAAACTTATTATGAGAAAACTATAGACCAATCTCTCTCTCATTGGTAAACACAAAAACTCTAAACAAAATTTCAGCAAATCAAATCTAACAATAAAGACAAATAATAATACATTATGATCTAGAAATGCAGTGTTGATTTAACATTCAAAAGTCAGTATAATTCACCATACTAACAAACTAAGAAGCTGGCTCAGCGCCTGTGGCTCAAGCGGCTAAGGCGCCAGCCACATACACCTAAGGTGGCCGGTTCGAATCCCCAACCCGGCCCGCCAAAACAACAATGGTGGCTGCAACCAAAAAATGGCCAGGCGTTGTGGCGGGCGCCTGTAGTCCCAGCTACTTGGGA